TAGTAATAATAGTAGTAATAACAGCAGTAATAACAGTAGTAATAACAGTAGTAATAATAAAAAACAGTATAATAACAGTAAGTAATAAACATAGTAAAAAAAGTAGTAATAACAGTAGTAATAACAGTAGTAATAATAGTAGTAATAAACAAGTAGTAATAACAGTAGTAATAACCAGTAAATTAATAGCAGTAAAACAGTAGTAATAACATAGTAATCATAGTAGTAATAACATAGCAATAACAGTAGTAATAAGCCGCTAGTAATAACAGTATTAAAAACAGCATGAATAACAAGTAGTAATAACAGTAGAAATAACAGTAGTAATAATAGTAGTAATAACAGTAGTAATAATAGTAGTAATAACAGTAGTAATAATAGTAGTAATAACAGCAGTAATTATAGTATAATAACAGTAATAATAACAGTATAATAATAGTAGAAACAACAGTAGTAATCACAGTAGTAGTAACAGTATAATGTAGTAATAACAGTATTAATAATAGTAGTCATAACAGTAGTAATAACAGTAGTAATAACAGTAGTAATAACAGTAGTAATAATAGTAGTAATAACAGTAGTAATAACAGTAGTAGTAATAGTAGTAAAAACAGTAGTCAATAACAGTAGTAATAACAGAAGTAATTAACAGTATAATACAGTAGTAATAATAAAGTGATAACAGTAGTAATATCGTACTAATAACATATCATACAGTATTAATAACAGTATAATAACAGTAGTAATACAGTAGTTTAAATAGTAGTCAAAACAGTAATAAATAACAGTAGTAGTATTAGTAGTAATAACAGTAGTAATAACAGTAGTAATAACAGTAGTAATAATAGTAGTAAGAACAGCAGTAGTAATAGTAGTAATAACAGTAGTAATAACAGTAGTAATAACAGTAAGTAATAACAGTAGTAATAATAGTATAATACCAGTAAGTAATAACATAGTAGTAATAGTAGTATCAACAGTAGTAACTAACACTAGTAGAATAGTAAGCAATAACAGGAGTAATAACAGTAGTAAAATAGTTGTAAAAACAGTAGTAATAACAGTAGTAATAATAGTAGTAATAACAGTAGTAATAACAGTAGTAGTAATAGTAGTAATAACAGTAGTAATAACAGTAGTAGTAATAGTAGTAATACAAGTAATAACAATATAATAATATTAAGTAATAACAGTAGTAATAACGAGTATAGTAATAGTATAATAACCGTATAATAACAGTAGTAGTAATAGTAGTAAAACAGTAGTAATAACAGTAGTAGTAATAGTAGTAATAACAGTAGTAATAACAGTAGTAATAACAGTAGTAATAATAGTAGTAATAACAGTAGTAATAACAGTAGTAATAACAGTAGTAATAAACAGTAGTAATTCCATAGTAATAACAGTGTAATAACCAGTAGTAATAAGAGTATTAATAACATATAAATAACCGTAGTAGTAACAGTAGTAATAAAGTAGTAATGACAGTAGGAATAACAGAATAATAATAGTATTAAAGAAACAGTAGTTATAGTAGTAATAACAGTAGTAAAAACAGTAGTAATAACGAGTAGTAATAATTAGTAAGTATAACAGTAGAAATAACAGTAGTAGTAATAGTAGTAATTAACATAAGACTAACAGTAGTAGTAATAGTAGTAATAACAGTAGTAATAGCAGTATTAGTAATAGTAGTAATAACCAGTAGTAATAACAGAGTAATAGTATAGTAATAACAGTATAATAACAATAGTATTAATAGATAATAACAGTAGTAATTAACAGAAGTAGTAATGGTAGTAATAACAGTTTAATAACAGTATTAGTAATAGTAGTAATAACAGTAATAATTACCTGTAGTAAATATTAGTAGTAAAAACAGTAGTAATAACAGTAGGAGTAATAGTATAAAAACAGTAGTATATAATAGTAGTAGTAATAACAGAGTAATAACATTAGTATTAATAAAGAGTATAACATAGTAATAACAATAGTAAAGAACCATAGTATTAATAGAAGTAATAACAGTAGTAATAATAGAGTAATAAGAGTAGTAATAACGTAGTAAAACAGTATAATACAGTATAAAAATAGTAGTAATAACAGTAGTAATAAAAGTAATAACTGTAGAAATAACAGTAAGTAAATAACAGTAGTAATAACAGTATAAAAAAAGTAGTAATACATTAGTAATAACATCTTAGTATAAGTAGTAATAACGTGGAAATAACAGTATACTAACAGCAGTAATAACAGTAGTAATAACAGTAGAAATAACAGTAGTAATAACAGTATAAAACAGCAGTAAATAACAGTAGTAATAACAAGCAGTAGCAACAGTAATAATAACAGTAGTAAAGACAACGTAAAATAATAGTATTAATAACAATAGTAATATCAGTAGTAATAACAGTAGTAATAACAGTAGTAATACCAGAAGTAATACATTAGTAATAACCAGTAGTAAATAATAGTAGTAATAACATAAAAAAACAGTCGTAATAAACATAGTAAAAACAGTAGTAATACAGGTAGTAAATAACAGAAAGTAATAACAGTAGTAATAATATCCTGTCCAGTAATACAAACGACAATAAATCTTGGGGGTAATAATAAAAAACCTAATAAATCTTGGGGGTAAAATAAAATACCAATAAATCTTGGGGGGTAATAATAAAATACCAATAAATCATGGGGGTGTAATAATAAAATACCAATAAATTCTTGGGCGGGTAATAATAAAATACCAATTAAATCTTGGGGGGGTAATAATAAAATACCAATAAAATCTTGGGGGGTAATAATAAAAATAACCAAATAATCTGGGGGTAATAATAAAAAACCAATAAATCTTTGGGGGGGTAATCATAAACAATACCATAAATCTTGGGGGGTAATAATACAATACCAATAAATCTTGGGCGGGGAAATAATAAAATACAAATAAATCTTGGGGGTAATAATAAAATACCAATAAATCTTGGGGGTAATAATAAAATACCAAAAATCTGGGGGTAATAATAAAAATACCAATAAATCTTGGGGGTAATAATAAAATACCAATAAATCTTGGGGGGTAATAATAAAAATACCAATAAATCTTGGGCGGTAATAATAAAATACCAATAATCTTGGGGGTAATAATAACATACCATAAATCTTGGGGGGTAATAAAAAATACCAATAAAATCTTGGGGGGTAATATAAATACCAATAAATCCTTGGGGGTAAATATAAAATACCAATAAATCTTGGGGGATAATAATAAAATACAAAAACATCTTGAGGGTACTAATAAAAAATCCAATATTAATATTATTATAATCAAGGGGAAGCGCTAAACCCGGAGGATTATACAAGCGCCGGGGGGGGGATGTGGAAATGGGCAATCAGGCTTAATTTCGGGGAACTGGAGCACAGAATCCAATTCCCAAAATCAAGAGCCCCTCACCAACATCAAGGGACCTTCCTTGAGGGGTAAAATACCATAAAAACTTGGGGGTAATAATAAAATACCCAATAAATTCTTGGGGGGTAATAAGAAAATTCCAAAAAAATCTTGGGGGGGGGTAAAAAAATAAAATACCAATAAATCTTGGGGGGTAATGAAAAAAACCCATAAATCTTGGGGGTAATAAAAAATACCAATAAATCTTGGGGGGTAATAAAAAAATACCAATAAATCTTGGGGGTAATAATAAAATACCAATAAATCTTGGGTAATAATAAAATACCAATAAAACTTGGGGGGGTAAAATAAAAAACCAACTAAATCTTGGGGGGATAATACTAAAACCAATAAGTCTTGGGGGAAGAATAAAATACCAATAAATCTTGGGGGTAATAATAAAATAACCAATAAATCATTGGGGGGGTAATAATAAAATACCAATAAATCTTGGTGGGTAATAATAAACTCCCAATAAATCTTGGGGGTAATAATAAAATACCAATAAATCTTGGGGGGGTAATAATAAAACACAAAAAAATCTGGGGGGTAATTTAAAATACCAATAAATCGTTGGTAATAATAAAATACCAATAAATCTTGGGGGGTTAAAAATATAAATACCAATAAATCTTGGGGGGTAATAATAAATACAATAAATCAAGGGGTAAAGAATAAAATACCAATAAATCTTGCGGAGTAATCATAAAATACCAAATAAATCTTGGGGGTAATAATAAATACCAATAAATCTTGGGGGATATTAATAAAATACCAATAAATCTTGGGGGGTAATAATAAAATACCAATAAATCTTGGGGGGTAATAATAAAATACCATAAATTCGACCTTAATTTATTACAATAACTTGATATAATAAATAAAATATCACAGACGTAATAAAATGATTGAAGGAATAAAATAACCACACAATTCATGATTTTTTTTGCAGAAATCCGAATAAAGAAAGAAAAAATTAATTGACAGTTAAGAAGATTTTATCGTAGGAATAAATTCTTATACAATTCTTATACTTATTTGCATATGTTAAAATCTATAATAATGGTGGATCTGATTGTCACTTCTGATCCCAGGCGGCGATCAGGTATCAGGTTCGGTCTGAAGGTGTTTCCTCTTGCTGTATCGACCCTCGGTTTTTCGCTCTAATAATCATCATTCATTGGTAAGGGTGATTAATCTCACAAGTGAACCCGCTTTAGGGGGTTCAATGTCCGGGTTCATTCCGATTCTTGTCCTCCGTCCGGTTCGTAAGTTCCGCGTTACTTGGCTACTGGACAAAGCTGTCAAGGTCCCTTCACTACTCGCGGTTTCCAGCGGGTTCACGGTGCCCGGGTGCATTAAAACTCTCCTGGGTTCGTTTAACAGTGTTCGTTAAAAATCCTCACTGGATCTGGTTATGACCGCCGCGGGGCGTTGACCTCAGGAACACCCTCCAGATATACTCCAGGGTCCTTACACAACTACGTGTTTCACTGAGCTCTGTGTGCATCATCTCACTGTGCTCACCATGGACGCCACATCTGGCGTACCCTCAGATCATAAAACGGCTCACCTTCTGCCCACCTCGAGGGTCACACACCTCATCTAAGTCCTCACTGTTATACCATTTCGTCACCACTGGATTGAATGAGGACACGGATGCTGGAAGATCTGTGGGGACACAACTGGGTGGTGGTGGTGGCGTGGTGGCGGCGAGGGCTGGAGGTAGACGAGGACAGAACTTAGCAACTAAGGCGTGGGCAGTGAGTAAATGAAGCCAAGATGTGGGTTGGTAACTCTGGAGGAGAGGGGAACTGGATGAGTACTGGGTGGGTAGGAAATGGGTGGGCATGGGGGTTGGGATGAGGGTGGACATGATGGATGTGGTGTAGAGGTGAGTGGGTTCAGTGTGGGTGTAAGCGTGGATGCATGAATGTACTGGCAGGTGTGGTGAATTGAGATGGATGAGTAACTGGAGGCTATGGAAATTTGTGGTACTGATGAGTGTGGTGGCAGTGGTCGAGTGTGCGTGTGTGAAAGAGGTATGAAACGAATGGTGAACAGGGTGTGGGTGGGGGTTGCAAGTAATGAACAACGGTAGTTCCTCCACGACGCTGGTATTGTGGTGTGTGGGTGTGGGTAGACACTGTGGTGGGCGTGGTAGATACTGTGTGGTGTAGAAGTGGGAGAAGGTGTGTGATGTGGTGGATGAACCCTGAGTGGATGTGGAGGTGAGTGAACACTGTGTGAGTGCGGAAATGGATGGACAATGCGTGAGTGTGGGTGAACACTGTGTGGGTGTGGGTGAACGCTGTATGGGTGTAGGTGAACGCTGTGTGGGTGTGGGTGTAGGTGAACGCTGTACGAGTGTGGTTGAACACTGTGTGGGTGTAATTGGACACTGTGTGGGTGTGGGGAGACACTGGGTAACTGCTACGACAGTTCCCACACCTGCAGAAGTCATCGTAGGAGTGGTGTTGGAACACTCTTCACTCTGTAGCTCTGTCGTGGCTGGTAGGGATGTGGACCTCTCCTGACACGGTGGAGGCGAGGATGAAGGAGGTGCTGACGAGGAGCAGGGGGAAGCAGGAGCCACACTAGAGGCAGGACCTACGCTAGAGGCAGGAACAACGCTAGAAACAGGAACAACACTAGAGGCAGGATCAACACTAGAGACAGGAACAACACCAGAGGCATTGTCTAAACTAGAGGCAGGACCTACACTAGAGGTAGCCTCCGTCGTGATATTCTCTTGCGGCAGGAGAAGACTGGGGTCGATGCCTCCCTGGATAAGGAATGCCATGCCACCAGTGGGTAGGCGAGTTGGCACTAATGTGAGGCGGCTCCGTAGCTCTCTGGTGGCACTCTCGGGGATGGCACCTTCCTGCTTGATTCCCACAGATGCTAGCGGTGCCCCAGTAAGCCGCTCTTCGGCGTAACAATCCGGCTGGGGGGCCTCTTCGGCTTGTGGATTCGAAGTGGGCGGCTGCAATGTTTTCAGACACGCCTGAAGATGCGTCAGGAGCCTTTCTCTTAAAGCCTTCTTCCCCGCCTTCCCCAGGGTGTGCTCCACTACGCTCATACACCGAGTGAATCCCTCCTTGTAACTGCTGGTGGTGCTGTTGCTGTTGTCCATCTCTTCGTCTCCGCCTCCAGGAGCATCATCGCCAGGGCCGGCATGTTTGAGGATTCGAATGTGCTTTGACGGTGGTCGTCGAGCCTGTCCACAGCCTCTCCAGCTGTGGTGTTCGAGTGTACTTCCAGCCCCTTTCGCGCTTCGATCTGTGACAGATGCATGAGTGAAAGTGAAGCGATGCAGGTGAGTGGTGGAGACAGTGTTGATTGAGGAAGGTGGACCATGATGCAGGCTGAGGAAGGTGAACATGATGAACAGTGAGTGAAAGATGAAGAACATATGAACAGGTGAGTGAAGGTGGAGAACAGGATGAATGAACAAAAGTGAGTGAAGGTGGAGACCATGATGAACAGGTGAGTGAAGTGGAGACATGATGAATGAGAAAGTGAGACATGATGAACAGGTGAGTGAAGTGGAGAACATGATGAACAGGTGAGTGAAAGGTGGAGACCATGATGAACAGGTGAGTGAAGGTGGAGACCATGATGAACAGGTGAGTGAAAGTGGAGACCATGATGAACAGGTGAGTGAAGGTAAGGTGAGTGAAGTGACAGGTGAGTGAAGGTGACATGATGAGGTGACAGGTGAGGAAGGTGGGGGGAGACATGATGAACAGGTGAGTGAAGGTGGAAGAATCATGATGAACAGGGTGAAGTGACAGGTGAGGGTGACATGGAGTGAATCAGGTGAGTGAAGGTGACAGTGGTGAAGTGAGGGTGAACAGGTGAGTGAAGGTGACAGGTGAATGAAGGTGACAGGTGAGTGAAGGTGACAGGTATAAAGTGACAGGTGATGAAGGTGACAGTGAGGGGTGACAGGTGAGTGAGGGTGACAGGTGAGTGAAGGTGACAGGTGAGTGAGGGTGACAGGTGAGTGAAGGTGACAGGTGAGTGAAGGTGACAGGTGAGTGAAGATGACAGGTGAGTGAGGTGACAGGTGAGTGAAGGTGACAGGTGAGTGAAGGTGACAGGTGAGTGAGGGTGACAGGTGAGTGAAGGTGACAGGTGAGTGAGGTGACAGGTGAGTGAAGGTGACAGGTGAGTGAAGGTGACAGGTGAGTAAAGGGTGACAGGTGAGTGAAGGTGACAGGTGAGTGAAGGTGACAGGTGAGTGAAGATGACAGGTGAGTGAAGGTGACAGGTGAGTGAAGATGACAGGTGAGTGAAGGTGACAGGTGAGTGAAGGTGACAGGTGAGTGAAGATGACAGGTGAATATCGCTCTTGCTGTATTAACGGGGAAAGGAAGGAGCGCTAAACCCGTAAAGAAGAGCCACGCAGTGCCTGGCGAAAGTGATCAAGGTCCGAAGGAAGGGCGAAACATCTTCGGTAAAGTGCCCCTTTCCCTCAAGTGGTCGATAGACAATTTTTACTGATTTAAAGTGGATTTAAGTATACTTAAAGTTGGTTTATATAGATTTAAAGTGGATTTAAGTGGACTAATTTGTACTTAAAGGACTTAAGCGGACTTAAAGTGGACTTTAGTTGACTTAAGGGGATTTAAGTGGACTAATTTGTACTTAAAGGACTTAAGTGGACTTAAAGTGGACTTTAGTTGACTTAAGGGGATTTAAGTGGACATTACTTAGGCTTGGCTTAAATGGACAGGACTTAGGGGTTAAATACTAACTTGATGGGCAGGGGCAGTGGCTTTCTTGATGTGCTTACCCCCCCATGACTGTTGGAGTGAATTTAAACAGCACGGCAGTGATTGCTGTAACCCTGATTTGGAGTGCAGCACGGTAGTGATGCTGTAAGCTGACAGTGCAGCAGTGATGCTGTGAGCTGACAGCGCAGCAGTGATGCTGTGAGCTGACAGTGCAGCAGTGATGCTGTGAGCTGACAGCGCAGCAGTGATGCTGTGAGCTGACAGCGCAGCAAGTGATGCTGTGAGCTGACAGTGCAGGAGTGATGCTGTGAGCTGACAGCGCAGCAATGATGCTGTGAGCTGACAGTGCAGCATGATGCTGTGAGCTGACAGTGCAGAGTGATGCTGTGAGCTGACAGCGCAGTGATGCTGTGAGCTGACAGCGCAGTGATGCTGTGAGCTGACAGCGCAGTGATGCTGTGACGACAGCGCAGAAGTGATGCTGTGAGCTGACAGGCAGCAAATGATGCTGTGAGCTGACAGTGCAGCAGTGATGCTGTGAGCTGACAGTGCAGAAATGATGCTGTGAGCTGACAGTGCAGAAATGATGCTGTGAGCTGACAGTGCAGAATGATGCTGTGAGCTGACAGGCGCAGGAAGCGTGAACTGACATGCAGTGAGCTGACACAGCGCAGAAGTGATGCTGTGAGCTGACAGTGCAGCAGTGATGCTGTGAGCTGACAGCGCAGAAGTGATGCTGTGAGCTGACAGCGCAGAAGTGATGCTGTGAGCTGACAGCGCAGAAGTGATGCTGTGAGCTGACAGCGCAGAAGTGATGCTGTGAGCTGACAGTGCAGAAGTGATGCTGTGAGCTGACAGTGCAGCAGTGATGCTGTGAGCTGACAGCGCAGAAGTGATGCTGTGAGCTGACAGCGCAGAAGTGATGCTGTGAGCTGACAGCGCAGAAGTGATGCTGTGAGCTGACAGCGCAGAAGTGATGCTGTGAGCTGACAGCGCAGAAGTGATGCTGTGAGCTGACAGCGCAGAAGTGATGCTGTGAGCTGACAGCGCAGAAGTGATGCTGTGAGCTGACGACACAGCACGGACTGCTCTACGTGCTGACACAACACTACGGCAGGGGGTAGGGGATGGCAGGGTATAGATGGGTATGGCGTGCGGTCGTACACAACACGGGGGGGTGGAGTATCCAGAGGGAGATGGAGGGGTACTAATGGGTACGACACGTCTACTCCTGGTCGTGCCTCGTGGCCGTCTGACGTGCGCACACTTCACACACTTGTCTAACCCCCAGACACACGACACACGACGTACCACAACGTTTCGCTCACCAACAACCTCTAACAACCCCCTTTCGAGCTCCCGTTTCGCCCTGTTTACGTATATCATCTTTAAAAGAGGCGAAAATATACCGATATAATATAGAAATCATCGTCTAATTAGTTCACTATTGGAAAATATCGTAAAAAATTGGAAATTGAGACGCATTTCCCTAAAAATTTCGCCTGGAGTGGACGCGTGCTCTCATTGGCCACGTGTAGTGTTGTCCTCACCTCCGATTGGCAGAGACGGTCACGAGTCTGGAGGACGATTGGCCAGCAGGACGCATGGCTGGCGGGTGATTGGCTGAGGCGGCTCATGAGAGCAGTGCTCAACCTTGCAAGGGATCACAATGACAACTGTTATCCAGAAGAACTCTTCAATACAAAGGGAATCGCTCTTTCTAAGGGCGTTTTTGGCCGTACAAATAATAACAGTAAATAATAATAGTAACAATAACAATGATAATAATAGTAACAATAATAATAATCTTTATTACTACCAGTACATGATACAACTTATACAGACCATAGCTGACACCAATGACATACTACTGTATAGAAAGTTCCTTGTTATGCTGAACATTTCCCACAAATTAGGTCAATTTTGTCCCCAGGATGCGACCCACACCAGTCAACTAACACCCAGGTACCTACTTACTGCTAGGTGAACACGTCCTAATGTTTCCACCCGTACCGGGGATCGAACCACGGACCTCAGTGTGTGAGCAGAGTGCACTACCAACCTAGCTACGGTCCACCGTAGGTAATTTACACACATGTTGCTATGTATAATAATTGTACTTATATGTACCCCTACTAAATAATCTGTTCAGTATGGTGAGAGTACAGACTAGCTCTCTCATCTTCGTGTGTTAGTGTGACTTGTTGATGAACTAAGTCAGACCGAAATGTCGTTATAAGCTTCTTTCTCCTATGTACGGGTATTTGTATATTGTTTCAGTCACCGTCCTGTGCTTTCTGGCCACCTGGCCCCATGGCCTGATGGCCAGAGCTCTTGCTTCTCACGGCAGAAACAGAGGTAACGGCAGAAACAGAGGTAACGGCAGAATCAGAGGTAACGGGCCAGACATCATGAGGTTCAACTCAGAAACAGGTAACAGCATCAAGATGAGAGGTAACAGCAGATCAGATGGTAGCACAGAACATGAGGTAACGGCAAATGCGAGGTCACGGCACAAACAGAGTGTTTCATGATGGATGTTCACAGCATCACATGATAGTGATGGCAGGTAAGCCATGATAGTTAGGCAGTAAGGCATGATCATGTGAGGTTCAGAGCCATGAGGTAGATGATGAGTGTAGCCATGATAGTGTTGCATATTACTGTAAGTAGAGAGCTGTCAAACCATGATAGTGTATGCAGTAACATGATAGTGAGAGCTCTATGTAGTCACAGATCAGATGATGTACGTATAACCAATATATGAGTGTTCACAGCCAATGATAGTGATAGCACATGGAGTACACGCATAAGTGAGGCTAAGCCATGATGAGTGAAGCATATGATGAGTGTACAGTCAGAGTAGTTCCAGATATGATGAGGCTGTACGCATCAGATGAGTGATTCACAGCACATGATAGTGGTACTAGCCATTGATAGTGATCAGTAGCATATGATGAGGTGTTAAGACATGATGAGTGTAGGCATTAGACAGTGCAGCATCATGATAGTGTAGACTAGAGCATATGATGAGTGTTCACATGATATGAGGCAGTTAGCACATGATAGTGAAAATCTGGATGCCAGTATGGAGTGTTCAGCTCATGACGAGTGTAGCAACATGATAGTGATGCAGTAGCCATGATAGTGAGACTACATGATGTGAGCAGTAGCAGATAGTGAGGCAGTAGCCATGATAGTGAGACAGTAGCCATGATAGTGAGGACATAGCCATGATAGTGAGGCTGTAGCCATGATAGTGAGACAGTAGCCCTGATAGTGAGACAGTAGCATGATAGTGAGCAGTAGACATGATAGTGAGACAGTAGACATGAATGTGAGACAGTAGCCATGATAGTGAGCAGTAGACATGATAGTGAGGCTGTAGCCATGATAGTGAGACAGTAGACATGATAGTGATGACAGTAGACCATGATAGTGGAGCAGTAGCATGATAGTGAGGCATGTAGCCATGATAGTGAGAAGTAGACATGTAGTGAGACAGTAGACATGATAGTGAGACAGTAGCATGATAGTGATGCAGTAGCCATGATAGTGAGGCTGTAGCCATGATAGTGAGGCAGTAGCCATGATAGTGGACAGTAGCCATGATAGTGAGGCAGTAGCCATGATAGTGAGACAG